AGGTCCCTTCCGACCCTAGAAACTATGAAACTATGTCATCTGGCTTGCAAGACTACCTACAGGTCCAGAAATTTGGGGGCTGGAGAGGGTGGCACTGCTCCCCCACTGCCAATTTCTGGGCCCATGGGGAGCCCTGGGCTCTGCTCACTGGATTGGATACCTGGTCCCTGTGCACAGTGCTGGGCAGGGGCAGCACCCAGCCCTAGGGCCTAATCCTGACACACATGGGGCTTGGAGGAGGCAGTGCAAGACTGCCAGGGACCAATCCCAGAATGCAGGGACAGGAGGAGGGTGGTGCTGGGTCTCAGGGCTTGCTCCCGGTGCCTGGGACAAGGAGGGAATAGTGCTGGGCTCCAGGGCCTGATCCTAGAAAGCAGGGCTGTATCCAGCCCACAGGCTGGCTCCACCCACTCATCTGGTTCACGAGGCCAAAAGGGGTAGCGCCATGTATCTGCATAATGGCCCATCTACTTCCTCACTTGACAGCAGGGATATCAAGCTAGCACCTCGTATCTACATTTCACTTGGGCCACCGGGATAAAAATTAAAAGGTACTGCAAAGGTACCTAGAGCTGGACACCCTCAGGCACTGATGTGTGCTGCTTGCTTCTTCTACACAACTGACTTACCCCTGCTTATAAAACTGTATCATTAAGGACATCTTTTAGAGGTCAGAACACAGAGGCAAGTCATACAGAAAACAGCTAGTGATCCGCCCTGCTAAACCACTGGCTGCAGCACATCCATTATCTGGCAGCACCAATGGACTGAAAACGTATTGCTCTATACAAGCATGCCCTTGCTGAAAGAAGATTTTTGGACAGGTACATATGGGGGGTGGGGAAGGTATACATTACAGGAGGTCCTGTCAGAGAGAAATTGTGTCAGATACAGGTGTAGGAATTCAGTGGAAGATAGTAATTCATATAATTTCATAGCATGTATTGCCAAGATCACTGAATCATAGGAAAGGTGGGCTGGAAAAGATCTCACAAGGTCATCTATTCCAACCCCCTGCTGAAAGCAGGACCAGCCCCAACTAGATCATCCCAGCCAGGGCTTTGTCTAGCTTGGTCTTAAAAACCTCCAAGGATGGAGAATCCACCACCTCTCTGGGTAACCTGTTCCAGTGCTGTACTAACCTCCCCATGAGACAGATTTTTCTTAATATCCAACTTAAACCTCCCTTGCTGCAGCTTAAGCCCATTGCTCCTTGTCCAGCCATCTGCCCCCACTGAGAACAGCCCAGCTCTGTCCTCTTTGCAGCCCCCCTGCAGGGAGGTGAAGGCTGCTATTCAATCCCCCTCAGTCTTCTCTTCTCCAGACTAAATCAGCCCAGTTCCCTCGGCCTCTCCTCACCCCCAGCCCCACAACGATTTTCGCTGCCCTCCGCTGGACTCTCTCCAATGTGTCCCCATCCTTTCTGTAGTGGGGAGCCCAAACTGGACACAGAAAGCCACATCTGGAGTCCTCAGTGCTGAATATAGGGGAAGAATCACTTCTTTCCATCTATTACCAACACTCCTAATAATGCAGGCCAGTAAATGAACAAATTCTTCCTAATATCCAACCTAAATTTCCCCTGCTGCAGTCTGAGGCCGTAACTCCTAGTTCCATCTCCCAAAAGCCACAGAGAAAAGCCCATCTCCATCCTTGCTGTGATTTCCCTTCAGTTATTTGAAAACTGTTATCAAATCCATCCTTCTCCCCCACCTCAGTCTCCTCTTCTCCAAACTACAGTTCTTTGGCTCTTACAGTCTTTCCCCATAAATGATGTTTTCTAGGCCTCGGGGGGG